TTGATCAAAATTCAGCCAGTTCGTACTGAACTGGTCGAATATCGATCCATGTATGACAGGCTTTTAGCGAAAACTAAAGGGAGGAATAGGTGTCACCCATGTACTGTTTATTTTATATAGTAACATTATAAAATAGTCAGCACAACCACCCAAATTCACCCAAATTCAATGTCAGATTCTTGGAAGACCTAGCTGCAGCTAAATAGAAGTACTCTCCTCTTATTCCTGCTGAATCGATCGAAATTAAAGAAGCAGGAGGCCCTGTAGGGACCTACCAAGTCCAAGTCAATTTTTGAACTGACTTTTGGAGGAGCTGTTTGGAACATTTCAGCTGAACAACCTCTGCATCCAATCAAATGCAGTCCCTGTTTGGGTATTCAGCAACTGTTGGTACCACCATTAAGAATCCATCATCCACGCTGTTTAACATGGGTGAAGGTATCCTTCAATTTTCTGTTGCTCAGCCTACGGGCTGAATGAGAAGTAGTTGCCTGTATGATTCACTTTAGAGCTCTTTTCAAAATTAGGTGATGTCTCATACTATGTAGGGAGAGAAAGTGAAGGCAGACAATTAAAAAAAACTAAATTTGATGCCATACAAAAGAAGTGTACAAATAGCACCAGGGAAGCATGGGCACAACATCTAGAGGCCAGTAGGTATAAAGGAATAATACATAGGGTACAGGCATAAAAACGTTTTAGAGACCAGGAAGATACAGGTATGACACTAGTTACCAGTGAATATGCTGCAACCTCTAAACCAGTTATAAAGGCAGAACCTGTAGGTCAAAGAAAATTCCATTCAGCTACAAGAGACTGGGTGAATAACTTGGGAATGTTGCTAGACACAACCAGCTGATCTTGTTCAGCAAATTGTATGATCTTGCATGCTGTTTAGGTTGCTTTGACCTGGTTTTGGTGTACATGTGTGTGTGTGTGTGTGTGTGTGTGTGTGTGTGTGTATATCGTATTTGCCGGCGTATAAGACGACTTTTTACCCCTTGAAAATCTTCTCAAAAGTCGGGGGTCGTCTTATACGCCGGTATACGTCATACTGACACTTTTTAGGGGGCGGCGCGGTGCCGCCGCCCCCCCCCTTCCAACGGAAGGGACACTAAGTACAGGGGTGGGCACTGTTTCTTACCTGGCTCGGTCCCACGACGATCCGGTCCAGGAAGCGTGGCTGTTCCTTCAGTTCGGCCACTGGATGTTAGCACGGCTGCTCGGCTCCGCCTCCTCACCGGTGATTGGCCGCCAGAACTGTAGCTCAGGAAAGGCACACAGGCGGCCAATCACCGGCGAGGGGGCGGAGCCGAGCGGCCCCCGCGAAAATCGAGTGCAGGAGCAGCAGGTAAGTGTTCAGTGTAGAGGTGCTGCTGCAACCACATATGCTCGCTGCAGCAGCACCATACTAGAACAGGGTCAGCAAGTGTAATTTGTGTCAGTGGGAGGAATAGTGCCCCATCATTGGTGTCACTGACACCAATGATGGAGCACTATTCCTCCCACTGACACCAACGATGGGGCACTATTCCTCCCACTGACACCAACGATGGGGCGCTAATTCCCCCCCCCCCCCCACTGACACCAACGATGGGGCGCTATTCCCCCCCCCCCCCCCCACTGACACCAACGATGGGGCGCTATTCCCCCCCCCCCCACTGACACCAACGATGGGGCGCTATTCCCCCCCCCCCCACTGACACCAACGATGGGGCGCTATTATTGACACCAACGATGGGGCGCCCCCCCCCCCCCACTGATACCAACGATGGGGCGCTATTTCCCCCCCCCCCCCCCCACTGACACCAACGATGGGGCGCTATTTCCCCCCCCCCCCACTGACACCAACGATGGGGCGCTATCCCCCCCCCCCCCCCACTGACACCAACGATGGGGCGCTATTTCCCCCCCCCCCCCACTGACACCAACGATGGGGCGCTATTCCCCCCCCCCCCACTGACACCAACGATGGGGCGCTATTCCCCCCCCCCCCCCCCACTGACACCAACGATGGGGCGCTATTCCCCCCCCCCCCCCCCCCCCCACTGACACCAACGATGGGCACTATTCCTCCCACTGGTGTGCATTGGAAGAGGGGTGTGTGTGTGTATATGTATGTGTGTATATGTGTGTGTGTGTGTGTGTGTGTATGTATATATGTATATGTATGTGTGTATATATATATATATATATATATATATATATATATATATATATATATATATATATATAAAATTTAGGGTTTTTTTTTTCCGCCAACCTATTTATGATTTATATAGAGTATACTCCTGAATGCAGAATGGATGATGCCAGATACCTCACTGAATATTTTTTGGCAGACGTAGGTGGCAATTTACAAATGACCTCAGGCAACAAAGTCTAACAACCCCCTCATCCCCTCCCTCCACACCACCACCAGCCCCCGCCGTACAATCGCAGCATTCGGGTCCTGTACATTTAAGATGTCAACTTGAACATATGTGTGGTGGCAACATTAGATAAAAGCTACATTGTTGTGTGGTGGTAAATTTAGAAAAAATCTACACTGCAGCAGCCTGACATATGTAGCCCTTTTTTTTTTCCCTACTTGTGGCATTTTATAGAATGCTGTAAATACAGTCACCATATCATTGCATGCAGTATGTTCAGCACTGCACACAAGCCCATCTAGTAAAAAGTCGTACTTAGTCATGGCCTTTGTACACCCTTCAACCATTTTGACATATTCAGGGTGTATGCAGTACGCATTAACTTTTTTTTTTTTATTCCTGGAAAATTGCAGGTTAATGGGCATTTTGCTGTACTGGAATAACATTGGAGAGGCTAAAAGAAAAATGTGTGAAATTCTTACCAGGAATCTGCCCCGAGGCCGGGTGCGTTTTACATTCTGTGATGTCTTAAAATGGAGAGAAGCACAAATGTAGAATTGTTAAATAGAAAAGGGAAGAGCCTGGAGATGCTGGTGGCTGTTTTGATGTCTGCTTTCTTCTGAAAATGCTAGTTCTCTGGCTGCCTGGACGCTTTAAAATTTGAGTTGCTGCTACAAAACCAGCATGAAGCTTCAGAAGAAAGTTCTTCAGAAAAAAGAAACTTCTGTTCTACATACTAGTTTCAGGTTAGTGACTTGAAGTATGGAAGCAATTGGATCAACACCCAACCCCAAGCAACTAGCATTTAAAAAAAAAAAAAAACTTCAGCATTTTTAATTTAATGGCAGCCTGCATATGTTTCAGTACAGGCATCCATTAAAGGTCAGCACTAAAAAAAAAAAAAAAAAAATTTTTATATATATTTAGTTGAAAACATTTAACATTTCATATTTTGCAATCTCCTTTTGAGTCAGCAGGTAGTCTACTTTTCACATCTTTTCCAGAGGCTTTTTAATCCCCTTATTTGTATAAAGGCTATTGTGTACAGGGTGCAGTAGCTTAAACTGAATCTGACTGACAGGTCCTAATTCAGACTATGTGTGTCTATCTCTTTTTCAGACAGCATGGTCAGAAAAGGCCGGTCTCAAGGCAGGCAGCACTACTGCTAGGCTAACAGGCCACAGTTCTCTGGGAATCCTTTTTCATTACCAAAACATTTGTTTGAAAAAACACAAATATTGCATACATTTAGTAAAGATTTAACTCTAAAACATCCCTTTTTAAAAATGAAAGTGAACCATTATAGTTTCTTTTTAAGATTTCTGGAAGAGGAGAGTCAAACAATAGAAGGATTTCAGAAGCATACCTTCCATACACAGGCTATGAAAGCGGCACAGTAAAGCCACCTGTAAACATATGATAGCAATTTGAAGAAAGTTGGTGATACTGAGATGTTTCACTCATCGACAAAGGAATTAGGAAAGCTAGTTTGTAGTGAAAGCCCAGTAGTGCCAGAAAGATCAACCTGCAGAGCTGAAAAGTTTCACATTTCAATTTTTCCATCTTGAAATGTTTGCACACAGTATGCATACACTGTTCCTAGACTTGGATACATCATTTTGTTACAAAATGGCACTATTAAATGTATTTTTTGTGCAAAAAAAAAAAAAAAATAGATTTTAGTACATAAGACTGTTACTGTTAGCAAGAAGATCTTAAAGCTAATCCCTGTTGCAGATTTTTCCCCACTTTCTGTCTTCTAAAATTGTCAATGGAACAGGTGGGATAAATCCCAGTAAGTCTTCTTGCTCATGGGGGCATTTGCCTGCACAATGTAGAGACAGGTATATTTTGGCACCTGGGTGCCAGAGGTGGTGTGTACAGCCTGCTGCCAGCAGCCTGTCAAAATCATTGGCTTTCTATGTTCAGGGCATACATTTCTGTATGCATATGGTTCTGTACGCAAGCACTCCTTAGAACTGTGTACAGTCAAAGCATATTTTTTCAGCCCATCAGTAATTTCGACAAAATAACCCTGTTTTTGCTGTAGGTAAATGTACCCTTGCACTTGAGTCCTAATGGAGTCCCACATAGCGGTAAACTGACAAAAGGGTTCTCACCACTTCCACTTCATTCATACTTAAAAAGAAAAAGTTCTGGCTGAATATAAGAACCACTTTTATCAGGTTGGACACAACAAGGACTTAAGCCGGGTACATACAGGCCGAATATCGTCTAAAATCAGCTGGTACAGTAAAAAAGAAAAAAAAAATGGTCAGCTTTCGACCCATGTCTACAGCTCCCTGTCTGACAGAAGTCGGTCTCATGATTATGTGAACCAGGCTTTAGGAGCTAATGTCTGCAGAAAATGGGGAAACACAATGGCTAAATGGTTAGCACTTCCACCTAGCAGTTCCAACGTCATTGGTTCAAATCCCAGTCACGGCACCTCCTGCCTGGAGTTTGCATGTTCTCCCTGTGCCTGTGTGGGCTTCCTGCAGGTAATCCACTTTCCTCTCACACTCCAAAGACATGCTGGTAGGTTAATTAGATCCTGTCTAAATTGGTCCCTAGTATGTGTATGAATGTAAGTTAGGGGCATTAGAATGTACACCCCTTGAGGGTTAGGGACTGATGTGAATGCACAATATATACGTAAAGCACTGCGTAAATTGACAGCGCTATATAAGTACCCAGGGGCGGACTGACCATTTGGAAACTTGGGCACTGCCCGAGAGCCCAGGGTCAGTAGGGGGCCCCATGAGATGCCCCTGGTACCTTTTTCATAGGCTGTTTTGAGTTTGGGCAAGGACACAGGGGCCCCATGATCCCCTATTGCCCGGGGGCCCCATGAGTTGTCAGTCCACCCCTGTAAGTACCTGAAATAAATAAATAAATAGACCTCTAACTTTATGAGCATTAGGCTGGTCATACACTGGTCTAAATTCTGCTGAAACCAGCTGAATTTTGCTCAGTGTATGGCCGCCCACACTCGATACAAGTTGTGCCTTTTGATGAACATATGTTAGAGACAAGTTCAAAAATATTTCCTGATCAGCGACTGCAGTCACTGATCAGTTGTCAGAATGTCTCATGCAGGGGAAATCCTCTGCCCACCTCACTGTGTGGATGAAAGAACCTTTTGTATGGGGTATTTTTTTTTTTTTTTTCCCCATTCAGTCCATTGACTGAACAAAAAAAGCTGACAGTATACAGCAAGCTTTAGTGCGATTTTAAGAAGGTGGAGTCCTGTATAACTTCTAGGCATTATGCCAAGTCACCCTTGAGTTACAGTAATTTCAGGAAATGTAATGGTATAAGTTTGATCTGGGTGGGAGAATGACAAGTTGTGATAATGCTAAACAAGCATTGCATGCCTGACGCAGCTTTTGTATGGTATGCTGAGATAGCATTTTATGGTAAGAACTGTCTTAGCGATGGTCTGGATCCAGCATCCGGAATACAAGCAATCAAATAACCAAAATCTGTCAATGATTTGTGTACAGCAAACCATGATGCTCTGGTTTTCTACAGTTCATTCATCATGGTGACTAAAATGATTTATTAAAGAACGCATCCCCTCAAAATCCCCCTGCTGTTTTTGGAGATCACCCTTAGCCCTAGTTCACACCAGTGTGACTTGTCATGAGACTTGACAGTTCAAAGACGCATAGCAAGCTGCACCCCCTTTGCGGCAATGAAACCGTTCAAATTGCTGCCATTCAAGTCACAGCGACTTTGAAAAAGGTTCCTGCACTTTTTTTCTGTGCAACTTCATTGCGATTTTCTTTTCACATCTGTTAAATGAAGTCACACAGGTGTCAGAAAGCTGCACATGAAATCGCACTAGGTTTGAAGTCGGTGAAGGAGCGCAACTTCAATGCCGCACAGGTGAGAATCAGGGCTCATTGTGTGAAAACACTTGATGTTTTTACAGACCCATGTGATTTTGAACAGTCCCTAACATCCAGAAACATGAACACACTTAGACTGTTACTTTGGTACCCCCTCCAATTCTGCACCTGACTGCAAGTAGTTCTGAATTATACAAAAATTGGATTAAATCTGACATCCCCTTGTTCCCTACAGACAAGAAATTCTAGATCCACTATTCTCAACCTTTTTACCCTAGAGGTACCGTTGAAAAAAGTCAGGTCTCGAGAACCCAATCTAAAACCATTGATGGTAAATGGGGAGGGGGGAAATGCCCCTTACATTGGTGACTATTGGGAAGAATGCCCCAATCCCCTTACATTGAAAAAAAATAAATAACTGGGTTTATGCAGCTGGCTCTGCTGAGTGATGTTGACCCTATAACTATTGTGGCTGATTGGAAGTTAATCAGCCACAACTGAAAGAACCCCTGAAGGAACCCTGGGTGAGAATGGATGCACTGGATGGTGTTAGGTATATAGGTATGCCTACAGTTGAGAAGGAACGAAATAGGCAAAGGGCATACATGACAGAATGGAGGGAGAACCAGGCAGAAGGGGTTAATTATATTAAGTGGTGTGGTCAGTACTGATGCTTACCTGCTTGGTCAAGTAGATGAGGAGCAGGAAAGTATAGTGCTGGGGAGGAATGGTTTACGCTCACTTGCAGAGGAGAAATCATCAGAACATCCTTCCCTCCCACCCTGTGTTTTCTTTTTTTCTTTTTTTGTTTTTTTTTTTTTGGGTAGTAATATACTTCTTTTGTTGTTCTTTGGCAGTTTGGAGTCATTGACGGGGGTCTAAATCTGGTGCTATTGGTAAAACCAGTGGGTATCCATCTTGGGTATGACATCTTCTAGTTGGTACGGTTCACTTCATAGTGACTGGGTAGTGGTAAAACCAGTGGGTGTCCTGAGGTCAGCAGGGTTAGTCCCCAAGGCAGTGTTTGGCGGCTGGGGTCATAACTTAGCAAAATGGTGTCACAGACATGAATTTTTAGTTATATGATACCGTCAAAGACCTTCAACCATTGTTATCTGGATTGATATGTTTATTATGTTTTTTGTTATTTAGAAGCTTAAGTTTTAATAAAAAGCCAATTTGACCATTTAACTCCAATTAGAGTGAGTAGTGTTTTTTTTTCGTAGGGGTTATAGGGAGGTGTAGTTGTGTACAGTTTTAGGTAAGAGAGGTTAAGTATGGAGATGAGCTCTGATCTACATTGGGCAAGGATCTGCAGCACTAATAGGGAATACAGCTATTTCAGAGATGCTGGAATATACATATCCCCCATCTTTCATATTTTAAGAGGGAAGCAATGAACTTTAAGTTTTCTGTGCTTCAGCTTTGCACAAATGTAGGCCATAGTATTTCAGTTTGTTAAAATGGGAACCCAGAAAAGCCATTAATTTTCAATATTAGTCTAGACCTGTCTCTAAGGACCTGTGTCGTTTTGGGCTTTTGTTTGCTTCAAATGGGTTTTGCATTCCTTTACAAGTCTATGGTAATGCAAAACCCACTTGAAACAGGACAAAAGCAGATTGGAAGGAGGTCAAATGCACTTGTCAAGAAATTCTGAATGATCTCGGAGTTCCAACTGATACCATTGACACAAGTCCAAAGTCCGTTGACACAGGACCTGAAAGTCCAGAATTGTTGAACCGTAGACCTATATGGCAGTTGGACAGAGAAATTTTGAATATGATTGTATTTGTCAATGGAAATAAGGAAGTAGAGCAGCCAAGCCTCCATGTATTTTTGTAAGGAAGGAACTAGTAAACCTAATTACAACGTGTTAATATGAAAGGCTTTATAAATTTCCTGGCACAGTTACAGTGATAAGCCTTTCTTTGTTACTTCTGAGAACAGAAAAGGCCCTGTGATCTTCAGAGATGGTTACTATGAGCAGATCTTGTTTGTACTCATGTAGGTGTTTGCACACAATAAATTAATCTTTTATTATATACATTTATCATGAGATTAAAGCGACACCAGTGCAGCGCCCATCAGCAAATTCAATTTCACTATTGTAAGTTATTTCAAGGGCTAGTCCACCCAAAAGTGATATTTTTTATTTATTTATAGTGTGAGAAAAGCTTTAAGGAAACAGCCTCTCACTGCTTTTTAAAAAGGATTTTCTTGCCCAATTTTATTAAAAGGAAGTTCACCAAAGAAATCAAAATCAGTGCGCTTTTCTAACGGGTTTACCAAACCGATCAAAACAAAGGCACTTGGCTTACACATGTAGCACTGCTGCTCTGGCCTTAAGATTTAGGCCCATTTCTGTCTCCTGCAGACAGTCTTCACACACAAATTTTGTTAATACAGCTAGCAGCCCCTTGCTGCTCTGGCTTCCCCATGTCTCCTAGGTCAGGGGTTCAAATTTCGAGTCCAGACCTACTAGCCAGTCACAAAACTTACTCTCCACCAGTTGCCCCACCCAACCTTGCCCTTGTTGGTTCAAATCCCAGCCACAGCACCACCTGCCTGGAGCTTGCATGCTCTCCCTGTGCCTGCGTGGGTTTTCCTCCCACACTCCAAAGACATGCTGGTAGGTTAATTGGCTCCTGTCTAAATTGTCCCTAGTATGTGTATGTATGAATATAAGTTAGGAACCTTTTTGTATTTTGATTGTATGCCCCTTGAGGGTTAGGGACTGATGTAAGTGTGTGTGTGTGTGTGTATATGTATATGTGTGTGTATATGTATGTATGTATGTATGTATGTATATATATATGTATGTTATATATATATATATATATATATATATATATAATATTACCGTGGGGATCGAAAGTTTGGGCACCCCAGCTAAAAATGTGTATTAATGTGCATAAAGAAGCCAAGGAAAGATGGAAAAATCTCCAAAAGCATCAAATTACAGATTAGACATTCTTATAATATGTCAACAAAAGTTAGATTTTATTTCCATCATTTACACTTTCAAAATAACAGAAAACAAAAAAATGGCGTCTGCAAAAGTTTGGGCACCCTGCAGAATTTATAGCATGCACTGCCCCCTTTGCCAAACTGGGACCTGCCAGTGTCATGGATTGTTCTCAATCATCGTCTGGGAAGACCAGGTGATGTCAATCTCAAAGGTTTTAAATGCCCAGACTCCTCTGACCTTGCCCCAACAATCAGCACCATGGGTTCTTTCTAAGCAGTTGTCTAGAAAACTGAAACTGAAAATAGTTGACTCTCACAAAGCTGGAGAAGGCTATAAGAAGATAGCAAAGCATTTTTCAGATGTCAATATCCTCTGTTCGGAATGTAATTAAGAAATGGCAGTCATCAGGAACAGTGGAAGTTAAAGCAAGATCTGGAAGACCAAGAAAAATATCAGACAGAACAGCTCGCAGGATTGTGAGAAAAACAATTCAAAACCCACGTTTGACTGCACGATCCCTCCAGAAAGATTTGGCAGACACTGGAGTTGTGGTACACTATTCCACTATAAAGAGATACTTGTACAAATACGGTCTTCATGGAAGAGTCATCAGAAGAAAACCTCTTCTACGTCCTCACCACAAAAAAAATCATCGTTTGAACTTTGCAAATGAACATATAAACAAGCCTGATGCATTTTGGAAACAAGTTCTGTGGACCGATGAGGTTAAAATTGAACTTTTTGGCCGGAATGAGCAAAGGTACGTTTGGAGAAGAAGGGGCACAGAATTTAATGAAAACAACCTCCTGTCCAACTGTTAAGCATGGGGTTGGGATCAATCATGCTTTGGGGTTGTGTTGCAGCCAGTGGCACAGGGAACATCTCACGAGTAGAAGGAAAAATGGATTCAATAAAATTTCAGCAAATTTTGGATGGTAACTTGATGCCATCTGTGAAAAAGCTGAAGTTAAAGAGAGGATGGCTTCTACAAATGGATAATGATCCTAAACACACCTCGAAATCCACGGGGGATTACATCAAGAGGTGTAAACTGAAGGTTTTGCCATGGCCTTCACAATCTCCTGACCTCAACATAATTGAAAATCTATGGATAGACCTTAGAAGAGCAGTGCGTGACAGACAGCCCAGAAATCTCAAAGAACTGGAAGACTTTTTGTAAGGAAGAATGGGCAAAGATACCTCAAACAAGAATTGAAAGACTCTTGGCTGGCTACAAAAAGCGTTTGCAAGCTGTGATACTTGCCAAAGGGGGCAGTACAAGATATTAACTCTGCAGGGTGCCCAAACTTTTGCAGACGCCATTTTTTTTGTTTTCTGTTATTTTGAAAGTGTAAATGATGGAAATAAAATCTAACTTTTGTTGACATATTATAAGAATGTCTAATCTGTAATTTGATGCCTTTTGGAGATTTTTCCATCTTTCCTTGGCTTCTTTATGCACATTAATACACATTTTTAGCTGGGGTGCCCAAACCTTCGATCCCCACGTGTGTGTGTGTGTGTGTGTGTGTGTGTGTGTGTGTGTATGTGTGTGTGTGTATCTGATATAATGAAATCCGTTAAGAGTGGGAGTCCTCATGATGACCGCAGTATGTGTGCAGACAAAAGAACTCAAGCCCTGACCTCATCAACAGATTACTTCAGAGATACAGAGGTTGAGTTACTAAAGTAGCAGAGAATCTTCACACTATAAATTGTGTAAATGTTATCAGTTATCCAGTCGTGTGAAAGTCAAATTCCGGTCTATTTATTTCATCTGCACATGATTAGATAATTGAAGTGGATAATCACACATTTTGTATTGAGTGAAGATTCTCAACTAATTTATTACATCAAGATAACAACATCCATGCTGCCCCAAAGGAACCAGTCTTGCATAACCCCAGGAAGGAGGCACTTGCAGGTTTTAGACCCTGTTGGTTCTGACACAAGTGTTGATTTACTAAAACTGGAGAGTGCAAAATCTGGTGCAGCTCTGCATAGTAACCAATCGGCTTGCAGTTTGTTTAGTCAAAGCTTAAAAGTGTGGCTAAACCCAGGACCCTGCATTCACTCTGATCTCCCACTGTACATAAAACATGGAAATGCAATTATGTTAGTAAATATAAACTGCTAAACAGAGGTGTCCCAAGGCAGGTGCAGAGGGTGCGCGTCGCACCGGGTGACACCTACCGCGCGGGGTGACACCGGACCCGCTCCACAAAAAGTTAAGTTGTAAAGCAAGCTGACGATTCCTGCAGGATTGTGGGGATTGTCGGCATGCAACCTATACGGGGTGACACCGGACCCCCTCCAGGAAAAGGTAAGTTGTAAAGAAAGCCGACAATCCCCGCAGGATGTATCGGATCTGTGGATTGGGGAGCATAATGGATCGGTTTCCGATCCATTATGCTCAATCCGCAGATCCGATCCATTCTGCGGGGATAGTCGGAAGGGGTGTCACCAAGTGATATCGCACCAGGTGACCCCAACCCTAGGGACGCCCCTGCTGCTAAATACCTTTTCTCATCAGCAGTTGGAGCAGCCTTGTGTCTTCTATCAGTGTTCAGCAAAGCACTGGTTAAAGCTTGTATAAAACTTTTTAATTCTTTTGTAGGAGATGCAGAACCCCTGACCTCCTGTCTGTACAGTGCTGATTGGTCCTGTGGTGATCACATGCACTCTCCCAAGAAAAAAAAAAAAAACCTCTCTAGCAATACACCAAACTGAGCATGTACAGAGTGTCTCCACAGATATGTCTTATCAGGAGATAAGAGGGGACACTGGAAGAAGGGGAGGATCAGAGAAGTCAGGATCAACTCATATGTTTACACAATGTATACATTACTAGGGTCGCTGGTTCAAATTTCAACTATGGCACCACCTGCCTGGAGTTTGCATGTTCTCCCTGTGCCTGCGTGGGTTTCCTCCCACACTCCAAAGACATGCTGGTAGGTTAATTGGCTCCTGTCTAAATTGGCCCTAGTATGTGTATGTATAAATGTGATTTAGGGACCCTAGATTGTACGCCCCTTGAGGGTTAGGGACAGATGTGAATATACAATATATATGTAAAGTGCTGCATAAATTGACAGGGCTATACAGGAGCGGACTGACAACTCATGGGGCCCCCGGGCAATAGGGGATCATGGGGCCCCTGTGTCCTTGCCCAAACTCAAAAGCCTATGAAAAAGGTACCAGGGGCATCTCATGGGGCCCCCTACTGACCCCGGACAGTCGGGCAGTGCCCGAGTTTCCAAATGGTCAGTCCGCCCCTGGGGCTATACAAGTATCTGAAATAAATAAATATAAGTTCCCCTGTGCCTCTGACAGTCCAAATACAGAAGTACTGTTAAAATACAGCATTTTTAGCACATTGTATGTGATGCCGTTTTTGTGTATTCAAGTCTAGTGTTTTTGCACATGTGGCACTGCATCTATTTGACATTTTTTGGATATTGAGGCATCTGTCGGCAGTAGAGTTCACCTGTGTCAGTCTGCATGCTCATACAGTGAGGGTGTGGTTGCATTAATAGCTCTTTGAGGTCAATTGTGTTAATCTCTCCCAGTGATCTGCTCTTTTGATGACAGAGCTGCTCTGGTTTGCTGTGTGCCATGGCAGCACAGTGCCAAGAAAAGGAGCCAGGTGCAGACAATTATAGGGTGTGTTCAGGCAGAACTGTGCATTCATTTCATTCCGTTTCCTATCTACTCTGGGTGATATCTTCTATCTGTTCACTATATACAGTACAAGGTGGGAAATGGCTACATTGAAAGGTTCTGTTTTGCAGTTTTGGGAGGTTTTTTTTCTTTGTTTTTTGCATTAGAATTAGTCATCCCTATAAATTTGTAGCTACCATTTATAATGGTGCAGGAAACTGGTGCAAGTGGAACCACATCAACATGTGCACCACATTAACAAAGCAGATAGAAACTGGCATGGGTGGTGCAAATAAACCCGAAAATGATCTATCTCAGAGTGAAATAGAAACTGGTGTGGGTTCTGTGACCCATTAATAAAGGGATATTAAGTATGGAAACTGCTGCAGATCCCCTCCAGATTGGACCTGGCTTATGAGATGTGAACTGCCAGCCAGTAACCTGGCAGAGGGCTCTCATGCTTCTTGCTGCCCGTGCAGTGAACACACTACACGGGCAGAGCATTTATATTTTTGACAACTCCTATTGTTGACCTTTGCAAAGTGTGTGTGTGTGTGTGTGTGTGTGTGTGTGTGTGTGTGTGTGTCTGTGTCTTCTGCCCCGTTATTAGCAGCAGGAAATTCTCTGTTTTCTCAGGTTCTTGCCAGGGTAGGGTGGTGATTGTTTGTCACATCCTCCATGTTTTCCCAATTAACTTGCTGGGTGCCAAGTCTGGGAAACATGAGAGGCCTACCACAGGGTGGGCTATTTTTTATTTATTTATTGCAGGTACTTATATAGCTCTGTCAATTTACGCAGCTATATATATAATCAGTCCCTAACCCTCAAGGGGCGTACAATCTAAAGTCCCTAACTTACATTCATACATACTAGGGCCAGTTTAGACAGGATCCAATTAACCTACCAGCATGTCTTTGGAGTGTGGGAAGAAACTGGAGTACCTGAAGGAAACCCACACAGGCACAAGGAGAACATACAAACTCCAGGTAGGTGGTGCCATGGTTGGGATTCAAACCAAGGACCCTAGTGCTGAAAGGTGGAAATTGTAACCATTTGCACGCACATAGAGCGGGCTCAAACATGCACCTGATTTTAACTCTTGAGAGCTTCTGTACCTCTGTAGAGGATGGAGACCTCTGCATTCTGGTTACGATGGGAGACAAAGTGTGGCATAGGGAGTGCTGACATATCTCTCGCAGCTATAGGCAATTCCATCTATAACAGGCACATTTATGACAGGCTGTTGGCTGACTGTACCTTCCATTGCTCATGACAACCACATGTATAGCTTGCAGTAAGGTGACTCTTTACATGTTAACTCCTCATACTGCATGTGAAAGTGACCCAAGCTTTAGACTAAGTGTGTGATAATGCCGGTTACTTGCAATGCACCCCTTTTTTTTTAAGACCTTCAGAACAGGCAGAAGGCAAAGTTTAACGCTTTACTTGTATTCATGCATGGCATTACAAAAAAATCCCAAGTAGACAAGACAGTCCAGCAGAACATCAATAAAAACAGTCTGTTCTGTCTCTCCAATCTAAGCATTGATAGTGTGATCTCTGTAACTTACAGTTGTGATGAGATAGCAATAACTTCAACCTCAGTTGGATACCACAGTCAGTGACTCAATCGATAAGACCTCTTGTGAAGTTTATTCCATAAACTGAGAGAATCTTACAACAACGAACATTCGATAGGTCAAAAGATCATGTTTCCTGCTCCATGACATGAGGCTAGAGCTGCAATGCATTTCTGGGAAAGGGGGGAGGGCTATCTATACAGCATTAACTAAACCAAAGGATAGGGAGGAGCAGAAACAAAATATAGAAACACTTAAAGGCATATGACAGTCAATATGACAGCCATGTGAAACATGACACAGTCAACATTCGAAGTCCCTTATGCCTACTCCTAACTAGGCTACGTGCTGCTCTGGTGTACCTGCGAAGAAAGGGTTTATGTAATTACAGAGTCCATCAGAGGCATTTTCCAGCAGCTGGTGTCTTTTTTTTTTTTTTTTTTTTTTTTTTTTTTTTTTTTTTTTTTTGGGGCAAATCCCCAAGCTATGACAACTTTACGTCTTGGGAGGATTACAAGGATGTCACATTGTGCTACCAAGTGCACAGCTTCTTGGAGAACCGGGATAATGAGCAAGACCGCGGCAAAGGAAAAAGGCAAGGCCAGGCAACTCTGTTTGGATTAGGCCCACTGTTCTTCTACATGCACAGGTGCAATGGGTCGGACCCCAAAATCCCACCAAAAAAAGCCAAAGAACCGGGAAAGACATTAACCCCTACCCTGCCATCCAGGGCAGCTCCAATGTAACTAAGTTCAGCCTGCGTACATTGTTAGAAGAGTAGCACAGGCTTTATGGCCACTCATTAATTCCTCACATTGTCTTCTTGGGCTTGTCATTACCTCAACTGATATAAAACTAACCTAATCGCTATTTCTTTGAGTGGCTTCAATTTCTGCGCTGTAGTTTAGTGTATTTTTGACGGTCTGTTTTCTATTTGTCAGTTTTTGACAGGTGCAGTTTCCATTGAAGTCAACAGATGCATCAGCAAACTTTGCAATGCGTTTTAATGATAAAGTATGTTGACATGCACTGTGATGCCTTTCCTTTGATATCAAGCACTTCTGAGAAAACGGTCAAGTGCAAATGGACCCTGAGAACATGCAGAGGTTTTTAGGTTTATACATCTTTAAATTAACTGTACACCCACAAAAGTAAATATAAAATGCAAGTAAACGTAAACCTGCACAATTATATGCATACATACAACTTTCAGAGCATTTTTAGGCAGGATTTTTCTGACAGCACCTGTTAGTAAGATCCTGCATAGTACTAGTATTTTAATACAGCCATGTGCACTTACTCTAAAGAAATAAATAAGATGTTACAGATCGACTTGGTAATACTGGTTTGCAATTTCGAGGTTTGTTTTTCTTCTGTAGGTATCTTACAAGTTGCAGATTTGAGGTGACACATGATCTGTCCCATGCCGTCACACACTGAGACAAGAATGCAGGGACGCCAATTTGTAGTAAAAAGGTTCTTGTTGAGACTCATACAGATGGACCTGCCATGGCTCCCTCCCTCCTTCCCGCCTCTACTACAAATCATTCACTTATTATCAGCAGTGAGAGTTTGTTCTCTGGGAACTCCCCCATGAATAGAGACAAAGTCTGAGACCCAGCTGTGTGTGGGTGTGTTTGGGTGTGTATGTGGAAGTCACTATGGATATGTGTGAGCCTGGTTCAATCATGCTGTGTGAAGGACCATGTTTGCTAATCCTGAAGCACTGAGAAGGAGTGTTGGTTTGTCTGTGCAGCCATATCTACTGTGCATCAGTGATGAGCTTTACATTCTAAGAAACACAAGTTTTATCTGTGCCTTATTCTGCAAGTATCATCTTGGAAGAGGACAAACTTCAGACCCCAGGATGATCCTAGCCCATTGTATATATTCTATAAGTTCTCAATAGTCACCCTGGCCCCAAATTACAAAGTAATATTACTGAAAGTTGGACATAGACTACTTGTCAGCTATATGCTATTAATAATACAGTATAACCATAAGGAGTTGTAACTGAGAGTTTAAAAATAACCTGTTGCATAACCTGGATATCAACTGGGCCGCAGCATGGCCCACTGAACTAGGCCGCAGCGTGGCCCACGAAGGAACTAGGCTCGCAGCGTGGCCCAGCAGGAACTAGGCTCGCAGCGTCGCAGGAACTAGGCTCGCAGCGTGGCCCACGCAGGAACTAGGCTCGCAGCGTGGCCCACGCAGGGCTCGCAGCGTGGCCCACGCAGGAACTAGGCTCGCAGCGTGGAACAGGAGGAACTAGGCTCGCAGCGTGGCCCACGCAGGAACTAGGCTCGCAGCGTGGCCCACGCAGGAACTAGGCTCGCAGCGTGGCCCACGCAGGAACAGGGCGTGGCCCACGCAGGAAGGCTAGGCCGCAGCGTGGCCCACGCAGGAACTAGGCTCGCAGCGTGCCCACGCCAGGAACTAGGCTCGCAGCGTGGCCCACGAAGGAACTAGGCTCGCAGCGTGGCCCACGCAGGAACTAGGCTCGCAGCATGGCCCACGCAGGAACTAGGCTCGCAGCGTGGCCCACGCAGGAACTAGGAACTAGGCTCGCAGCGTGGCCCACGCAGGAACTAGGCTCGCAGCGTGGCCCACGCAGGAACTAGGCATTCCCTGATGCTTGGAGTTTGAAAACTGTGTTAAGCTAAACTACTCTCTACACACGAGCTGCACTAGAAATTGTTTTCATTTCGCAGTAATACGAATGCCATCCTGTACTTGAATGAGATTCCCTTTTAGATGACACCCTGTGTCTGCAGGAGCACCAACGCTTCCTGGATGCTAGGTAACAAACATGGCATATGTGCACACAGCAAACCTGCATCCTGATTAAAATTGCTAATATGAGAGTGTTGGCAAATAGCTGATAGCATAACCTGTCAGCACATGTCTTTCAGGATCTGATCCAGGTTATGCATTTTTAATGGAGCCATTGTTCCAGAATCCAGAAACTGAGTGAACGTAGTATGATTAAGCAGATGTATATTTTATTTTGATCTGTTAATGCAATGGTATATCTCTCTAAAAAAAAAAAAAAAAAAAAATT